ACGGGGAGAGGGCCCCGTGAACTCGGGACCTCCTCTGCCGACTCCGCCCCAGAGTCCGCTGACGACCTCCTGGTTGGCTGATGATGATGATGATGATTCTGATGATGATGACGATGCTGACGATGATGATGATGCTGATGCTGATGCTGATTCTAATGACGACGATGCTGATGATGCTGATGATGATGATCACGATTTTGATTATTATGACGCTGTTTGTGACGATGATGATGATGATGATGATGATGATGATGATGATGATGATGATGATGGTCACGATGATGCTGCTGCTGCTGATGATGATCATGCTGATGCTGCTGCTGATGATGATGATGCTCATGCTGATGATTAACGTGCTGATCATGTTGATATTGCTGATGCGACTGCTGCTGATGATGATAATGATGATGTTGAGATGATTATGATGACGATGACGATGATGATGCTGGTGACCATCATGCTGATGCTGATGCTGATGATGCTGATGACGATGATGGTATTGATGATGCTGATGATGATCATTCTGATGCTGATGCTGCTGCTGGTGATGATGATGCTGCTGCTGGTGATGATGATGCTGATGATGATGATGAGGATGCTGCTGATGATATTGATTGTGATGAGGATACTATTGCTCATGATGAGGATTTGTTTGCTGATCATGCTGTTATTACTGATGCGACTGCTGCCGCTGCTTCTAATGATTATGATGACGATGCTGATGACGATGGTGATGCTGGTGATGATGCTGATAATGACGATGCTGATGACGATGATACTGTTGATGCTGATGCTGATGATGATGATGATGATGATGATGATGATGATGATGATGATGATGATGATCACGTTTCTGATTATGATCACGATGATGATAACGATGACGATGATCGTGACGGTGATGATGATGCTGCTGCTGATGAGCATGATGATGATTATGATGATGATGTTGCTGCTGATGATACTGATTATGCTGAGGATGATACTGATCATGATGAGGATTAATTTGCTGATCATGTTGTTATTGCTGATGCGAGTGCTGCCGCTGCTGCTAATGATTATGATGACGATGCTGATGACGATGATGATGATGATGGCGATGATGATGATGATGCTGCTGATGATTATGATGAAGATGACGACGATGATGATGATGCTTATGATGATGATTATGATGATGATGCGGATGATGAGGCTGATGATGATGTTAACGATTATTATGTGGTTGTTGATAAGCACCACCATCAACATCACAATCACCATCACCATCACCATCACTATCACCATCACTATCACCATCACCATCATCACCATCATCATCATCGTCATGTTGCGCTTGCCCACGCCCGGGTTCCGACAGGGTCTTTCAGGCGGCAGCCCGCGACCGTCTCTCGTGTCCGATTGCCCTTCTCGTGCTGCGTGCGCCCCGTCAGGCGCAGGGCGTCCAGCTCGGGGGCAATGTTAGAGGGGGAGAGGCTCAGGGGGGCAGAGTCTCCTCCTCGTCCTCGTCCTCGTCCTCGTTCCTCTCTTCCTCCTCCTCCTCCTCCTCGTCCTCGTCCCTCTCTTCCTCGTCCCTCTGCTCCTCCTCCGCCCCGTGCTTCCTCTTCTTGTCCTCGTCGTCGTCGTCCTCCTCCTCCTCCTCCTCGACCCCCCCTCGCCCATGGATCGCCGATGGTGGCCCGAACGCCCCGCACCGCCCAGAAACGTGGAGCTTCGCCGTCGGGGGCCTGCTGCCGATCGGTCGGCGTTGCATCGCCGATTCCAGGCCGGTGCTTCCCCCCCGAGCTGGGTCCCCCCCTGACGTTAGGTCTGGCAGGTCCTCCTACAGGCGGATTTTGGAAGAAAAATGAAAAATAGTCAACAAATACCCCAAACATAGTCGAACAAGTCGTCTCCATCTTATTTTTTGACTATTGTCGAGTACTCCTCCTGTAGAGGACATGCCCGACTTCACCCTAACGTTGCCCCTCACTGGCCTGCCCGGCCGGTCTTGCCCAGCGGGGCCGACTCGATTTCTCATCATCACGGTTTCGCCGTCTCTGCCCATACATCCGATGACGTCTAGCATCACGCGGATCCGTTCTGTAGAGGGGTCCCAGTCGTAGCCGTTGCCCTCGCCGCCGCCATCTTCGTTATCGTAGTCATAGCCATGGTCATGGCCATCCTCTCCATCATCGTCACCACTGCCAAGGAGGACCCCGAGTTGGAGCAAGGCGGCGACCAGGAGTGGCAAGATGAACCAGAGGCTGAGGACCGGGGGCCTCCACAGCGCAGCTTTCAGAGTGACGGGCACGTGAGAGCGCGAGTGGATGGGGAGGTGTGCAACACCAGGAGCAGCTGGAGAGGGGAGGTGGGAAACGACGTACTAGAAGGTGAAGGGGTCGTTACCTCCCTGCCCATCCCGCCGATCCCTTCTCACTGCGCTGATCCCTTTCTGCTCGCCGAGTTCGGCAGGGTCGAACAGGGATCTGGGGATGGCGTTTGCAGCGCTGGCGCGTTGAAGGGATGAGGAACATGCCAGACGGGGCGAGGCGCGCGCTGCGGGATCGTGTGACGTCCAGGCGGGATACAGGCGTTCTGATATCCTCTAGAGGTCGCGGTATTACGATGTTGCAATTGACACGTCACGCTGTGTGTGTTGCACATCGCACGGACGCCCGCAACATCCAGAAATCGTGTTATTCTCTTGCGCTGCCGAACCTGCGCATATGGCGTGAATGGGCTCAAGGTTAGAGGATTGACAATCGAGGGAAATGCGCCCTCGGACTCACATTCCGCAAATTCTGGAATCACCGTTGGCGGTTTTGGGGGATTCTGGATTTGCTAACTTTTGGAACTACTGCAACGTCGTTACATCTTTTCTGAAGTTCAGGAGCTGGAGGAACCAGAGTGGGAGAGGGGGGAATGGTGAGCGAAACGACGCGACTTGATTGTGCCCATGGTGTTTTTTTCAGTTGAATGCCCTCCCCCAGCGCTGGCACGCTTGGCTTTTATCTATGAAAGCCTTGAGGCTTAAACTGTGCCCCTGGGCTCCCAGCTTCAACATTGGCTCCGGCTTGAGGCTCCCTCATCATTTATCGGAGCATCGCGCTCTCGCTGCTCTGGAATCGTGCTCTCGCGTAGGACTTCTGCGCAATCTTCAGGAAGACAATTTTGGGTTGGGAGGATGGGGTTGGCAGCAATGGTGATATCCTGACCCGTAGGCGGCCGAAGGTATCGTTCATTGCATCCGGATGCTATTGCTCTTGTCCTTCATCCTCCCAATCCTTTTCTCCCAACACGAAAACTGCTCTTCTCAGATCTTGTAAGGCATCGCGTCCTCGCCTCTGATGAATTCGCCTCTTATGCGAAGGGAGTCGCGACACCATGCCTCCTCCCCCCTCCCCGTCTGACAGGGCCCACCCGCCCGACCCGCCCGTGAGGGCCTGCTCGCCCCCCCCCCGCCCGCCCGCCAGGGCCCGCCCGCCCGAACCCCTTGCGAGGGCCCGCCCGCCCGTCCGCGTGTTCCCCTTCCCGCTTCCCCCTCCACCCCCTTCCCTCCTCCTCCTCCTCCTCCTCCTCCTCCTCCTCCTCCTCCTCCTCCTCCTCCTCCTCCTCCTCCCTCCTCCCCCCTCCCCCGCGGCGTGTCGTTCGTCCGTCGTCCGTCACTCTCGCGGTCGTGCCGTGCCGTCCCCTCTGCACTCCTCCTCTGCCGCTGGGCTGCCCCCTTCGCTGGCAAAAGAGCGGGTCCACCCGGTGGACTGCAGCCTGCGGCCCTGCCCCGCCCGCCTGCGTGCCCCCGCCTGGCCCAGGGCCCGCCCGCCCGACCCGACCCGACCCGAGCCCGCTCGCCAGGGCCCGCCGCCAGATCCGCCCGTCGGGGTCTCCTCCCTCCCTCCCTCCTTCCCTCCCTCCTCCTCCTCCTCCTCCTCCTCCTCCTGATGTGCCGCCACGCCCAGCCGACAGATGGAAAGCTCACTATGCAGCCAGCACGTTTCCATGTCTCTGCCGCCCGAGCCCCCCGACCCGCCCAGCAGGGTCCGCTCGCCCGGCCAGCTCGTTCTGCAGCGTCGGGGCTTACCCACAACAAAGAAGTCTCCCAGAGGGGGCACGTTCAGGAACCAAGAGGGCGGTAACCGAGGGCTTTGGGTATACGTGTCGAGTGGCATGCGGGCAATGAGCGGCGAATGGACTTACATTGATTGTTCTTGGTATTGAATAGAGAGGGCTCCAGGCCCCGAGCCCGGCGGACCCTGACGGGCGGGTTGGGTGGGCAGGCCCGCCCCCGGGACAGCCTGGTCGGCTGCTTGGAAGCCCGCGCGCCCGCTTTCACGGCCCCCTCGCCCGATCCGCTCGTAGGGGTCCGTCCGCCCGCCCGCCCGACCCGCCCGTTTGGGTCTGCCCGCTGGACCCACCCAACCCGCCCGTTTGGGTCCGGCCGCCCGTCCTGCCCAGCAGGGTCCGCCCGCCCAACCCGCCTGTCAGGGTCCGCTCGCCAGGCCCGCCCGTTTGGGCCCGCCCGCCCGATCCGCGTGCTTTACCCAGTCGGAGTTGCTCCAGACGCTGGCATGACGCAATCCCCCCCAAATGGGGTACGTTCATAAACGAGGAGGGTGGGAGCCAAATGTTTGCTGTTATGCATGCTGATCGCTACTCGGCTAACGAACAGCGAAGGGCTTTAATATAATTGCTCTTGTTGTTGATGCTTGCGCACTTCTACTACATCATAATGATTGTTGACCCCCCTCGACTTGGGTGCCTTCGTTTTTTCCATTGAGTCCGCCCCCCGACGCTCCCACCCTAGTTTCTGTGTGGGAAGTCTTTAAGCCAGAATCGTAGCGTTTGTCCCCCTGACTGCAATAACGGCTCCCGCCCCAGACGTCCTCACAACTTCTTCCAAGGCGAGATCGATATTCCTAAAAGGCGATAGCCGGCTTGCAGCGATGCACCCAGAGTCGGGCAGTGTCCTCGTCAGAGGCAGGAAACCCTGACCAGGCCAAGAGGAAGGGAAGCCCCAGGTCTGGTTTAGAGATATCCCCCCTCGATGAGGGCCCGTAACCAAGCCTACACCCATCAGACATCTCAAGAAAAAAACGAATTCTGATGAGCTCCAGATTTCATTCACGAGAACTTAGAATATGGGCTGTACTCTGGGCGTTTTCTTGGAGCCTCGCTTCGTCGAAGAATGCTCGTATATCTGGACCTGGGCTACTGTCTAATAAAACGCTTGGCTTGAAGCCCGTTCACTTAGCCTAAAACTTTCTCAACTGTAATCAGGGGTGCAGATCGTCACCTCAGCCTTTGTCGGGCTTGGGTTTTCCTGCTCCTTAACTCGGGTGTCAGAATCCAGTCGGTCGCCGACCTCTTCAGCTTTCACCACATACCTTAGACGGCCGTCTGAGCGAATTCATGGCCTCGGGCCTCGTTTTCGCTGCCTTACGAGGCGGGTGACGACAGAGAGGACTGCCTGGCGAAGGGTCGGCCCCAGTCTTCGTTTTGTCAGACTGGCTTCACGTTGTGTGCGCCTGCCGTACTGTATGATCCCTCGTGGGCGTCTGTGCCCGCCCGCCCCCGAACTCAACAGGATGACGGGGGAGTAGGGTGGGGAACGTATGCTGATTCTGATTTTGGTGTCGATGACGATGGTGATGATGCTTGTCGGTGCTGGTGATGGTGATGATCAGGGTGATGATGCTGAGGACGACGGCCACGACGACGACGACGGCGTCGAGGATGATAACGATGTTGAGGACGATGGCGACGACCAGGATGAAGATCATGATGATGATTAAGGCAGGGAGGAGGCGGAGGAGGAGGAGGACGAGGAGGATGAGGAGGAAGAGAAGGAGGCGGAGGAGGAAGGTCAGGGAGAGGAGGAGGTGGAGGAGGAGGAGGAAGAGGAGGAGGAGGAGGGGTCAGAGCAGAACAAGAAGGAAGGAATGAGGAGGAGGATGAGGAGGAGGAGAAGGAGGAAGAGGAAGGGGAGGATGAGAGGGAGGGGGAGGAGGAGGAGGAGGAGAAGGATGAGGACCAGGTCGAGGAGGAGACGGAGGAGGAGGAGGACAATGCGCAGGAGGGAGGGAGGAAGGTAAGGAGGGTGAGGCGAGTGAGGATGATGATAGTGATGATGGTGCTGCTGATGATGATGATGATGCTGATTATGATGATGATGAGGATTATGATGATTATGCTGATGATGATGCTGATGCTGATGCTGCTGCTGCTGATGATGATTATGATGCTGCTGATGAGGATGATGCTGCTGATGTAATGCTGTTGATGTGATGCTGATACGTATGATGTTGATAAAGATGCTGATGATTATGATCATGATACGGGCGCTGCTGCTGTTGATGGTGATGATAGTGCGGATGGCGATGCTGATGCTGATGATGCTGCCGCTGCTAACGATGATGATGATGCTGAGTACGCTGATGATGATGTTTATGCTGATGATGATGATGGTGATGACGCGGATGATGACGACGCTGTGGATGATGCTGATGCTGATGATGCTGATGCTGCTGATGATGATGACGGTGACGATCGTGATGATGATGGTGATGATGATGCCGCTGATGATGATGATGATGCTGTTGACGATGACGATGACGATGACGATGCTGATGATGATGATCATGGTGATGATGACGACTAAGCTGACGATGAAGATGATGATGCTGACGATGCTGTTGATGATGATTATGATGGTGATGCTGCGGATGATGATGACGATGCTGATGATGATGATGCTGACGATGACGAAGATGACGGCGATGATGGTGATGATGGTGATGATGATGCCGCTGATGATGATGACGATGATGATGATGATGATGATGATGATGATGATGATGATGATGATGCTTTTGACGATGACGATGATGATGACGATGATGATGCTGATGCTGGTGACGCTGTTGATTATGATGCTGCTGCTGATGATGATGCTGATGATGCTGATGCTGATGCTGATGGTGATGATGATGCTGATGCTGATCATGATGATGATGCTGAGGCTGATGGTGTTGAGGATGATGCTGATGATGGTGCTGATTACGAATGTGGTGGTTGTGATGCTGATGATGATGCTGATGACGATGGTTATGATGATGCTGAGGATGATGAAGATGATGATGATTTTGATGACTGTGATGGTGATGATGATAACGATGATCATGTGGCTGATGGTGATGATGCTGCGGGTGATGATGATGATGATGATGATGATGATGATGATGATGATGATGACGATGATTATGATGATGCCGATGACGCGGATGATGATGATGCCGATGATGATGATGCTAGTGATGATGATTATGATGATGCTGATGATTCTGATGGTGATGGTGGTGATGATGATGCTGATGATGATGATGTTGCTGACGATGACGATGATGATGACGATGATGGTAATCATAATGATGATGATGATGATGATGATTGTGATGCTTATTTTGCTGATGATATGATATGCTATGATGCTGATGCTGATGGTGCTGATGGTTACGAGGATGCTGCTGCTGCTGCTGCTGCTGATGATGATGACTCTGATTATTATTATTATTACTCGTATTCGGTTCACTATTCGTATTCTTATTATTTCTTTCATTGTTATTGAAATTAGTACTACTATCCTCATCATGATTTTGATTGTGATGATGACGAGAAGGATGAGGAGGAGGAGGTTGAGGAGGCTGAGGAGGAGAAGGAGGAGGAGGAGGAGGTGTTGGAGGAGCAGGATGAGGAAGAGATGGAGGAGGAGGAGGAGGAGGCGGAGGAGGAGGAGGAGGAGCAGGAGGAGGAGGAGAAGCGAGCACATGAAGCGACGTGCCGAGTCGAGAGGAGGGGAAGGCAAGACAACTGGGAAAAGGTGAGGACGCACAATCGCCCACATAACGCAGAGGGCATACCCCGCTATCGCCCAGCAAGCTTCACGGCGACAGGGCACGCTCTCTCTCTCTCTCTCTGCCCAGAGACCGGCCAGGAGCTAGACAGGAGCTGAAGGACAGGGCCTGGTGCACATCGCGTGCCGCACATTGACGATCAGACACCCGACAACGCACGGCACGCAAGAAACACAACGAGTTAAAGTTGGACTCAAGGCCGCGCTGCTTCATCAGCGCGTGGCGTGCATCTAAATGCAAATAGATGCCGCGCAAATAACTGCAATCGGCTGGCGGGTTTGCCTGTTCATCCGAAACAACGCAAGGCGGAGAAACAGGTGGGCTCTGGGCAACCCCGGCAACGCCGACAGAGCAAGGGAAGAGGTAAGGGACAGAGGCGTTTGACAGCCCCACAACAGCCCTGCCCTACCAAAAGTCCTGCCGCTGGCGGCGGTGGGGGACGCCAGCTCACCGTTGAATCACACGGCCGCGGGGTCTGAAAACAGACGACGAGGGGAGGGGAGGGGTGCCGCTCCCCAACACGTGATCGACGGCCTGAGGCGAATTAGTTCGGCGCCATCTGCGCTGAGGGATGGACACGGCCTGGTGCACGTCGCGTGTCGCACATTGACGACCAGACACCTGACAGCGCACGGCACGTCAGAAACACAACGTGTGAAAGCTGGATTCGCGGCCACGCTGCTGCGTCAGCGCGCGGCGTGCAGCTAAATGCAGATAATTACAGCGCAACAGACTCCAACTAGCTTGCGGTTTTGCCTGCTCAGCCGAAACAAACCAAGGCAGAGAAACAGGAGGGCTCGAGGCAACCCCGGGCCGACAGAGCAGGAAGATGTATACGACAGAGGCGCTGGAAAGAACCACAACGGCCCTGCCCCAGGAGGAGGGACAGGAGGAGAAGGAGGAGGAGGTGAAGGAGGAGGAGGAGGAGGGAGGAGGAAGAGCAGAAGGAGCAGAAGGAGGAGGAGGAGGTGAAGGAGGAGGAGGAGGTCGGAGGGCGAAGAGTCAGTGCCGGAGTCGCAGCCAGAGGAGTCGAAGGAGGAGGAGGAGGAGGATGAGGGAGGAGGAGGACCAGTGTAAATCCAAGAATCATCAACGATGTTGTAAGAAACCCTCCCTCCAAGCTCCCTTTTCATAGGCCCCTACAAGGGTTCATTTCCACTGAGGGAACTGCCTCGTTGCAAGACAACTGTTTGAAGACCCAGAAGCATTCCAAAACATTGTGCTCGGGATTCCAACGCGACGGACCAACCTGACTGTTGCGTCTTGACGATCTGAATCGTGCCAGAACTGGGACTTCAACACCGCGAACCAATATAACTGTTGCACCCTCATAGTCCTGAATCCGTTCAAAACACCATGTCTGTTACGCTGATCACGGGAACCCGTGAACCCTTGCACATTTTTATCAGGAGTGTGCGCGGCGCTAAGACAAGAGCCACATTTTGAAAAGGAACCGCCCTCAATCCGTGAAGCTCTTGCAATTGTTGCAATGAATGTGCGCGGCGATAAGGCGAGATTCACATTTTGAAAATCACCCGCACTCAATCCGTGAAACTCATGCAATTCGTTGAAACGAGTGTGCGCGGGGCTAAGGCGAGAGCCACGTTTTGAAAAGGACCCGCCCTCAATCCGTGAAGCTCTGGCAACATGTTACAACGAATGTGCGCTGCGCTAAGGCAAGAGCCACATGTTGAAAACCAACCGTCCTCAATTCGCGAAGCTCTTGCAATTGTTTAGAACGAATGTGCGCGGTGCTAAGGCAAGAGCCACGTTTTGAAAACCAGCCGCTCTCAATCCGTGAAGCTCTTGCAATTGTTTCAAACGAATGTGCGCGGCGCTAATGCGAGGGCCACATTTTACAAACGACCCGCCCTCCATCTGAGAAGCTGTTGCCATCTTAAGCTTCAGGCTCATAAAGGAGGTCTCAGGCGAAACGCCAGGCCCGCCCTAAAAGCTGGCCTTGGGAGGAGAAGGAATGGAGGAGGAGGAGGCGGAGGAGGAGGAGGCGGAGACGGGGCGCGGCATTACTCTGGGCCTCGGGGGCCGAGCCCGCGCGCGCAGGAGGAGGAGGAGGACCGCGGCCCGGTGGACGAAAAGGCCTCTCCGAGGAGGCGCGCCAGGTGGCGGTGGTGATGATGATGCCGCCGCCGGCGACGACGATGACGAGGACGAGGATGAGGATGAGGAGGCGGATAAGGAAGTAAGGAAGGAAGGAAGAGGAGGAAGAGGAGGAGGAGGAGGAGAGGAGGAGGACGTGGTGGAGGAGGAGGAGGAGGAGAAGGAAGGAGTTGGAGGAGGAGGAGGGGGACAAGGGGGAGCACGAGGACGAGGACGAGGACGAGGGGGAACACGAGGATGGAGGAAGGAGGATGACGGGGTGGAGAAGGGGAGCACAGGAAGACCTGGGGGGAATCCTTCCCTTCTTCCCACCATCCTTTCTTCCTTATTGAAAGTGCTCAATGCTTGACATGCGGTGCAGGTTATTGCAGCAAGCGCATCGTTTCACGTGAATGTGATTGCCGTCAGAGCGTCATGACTGTGAGCGTGGATTGTACTTGCAAGCGCTCTCATCAAAGGGCACGAACAATAGCAAGCAATTGACACAACTTCATGCGTGGACACTGGCAGAGATGGGATGGGCGGACAAATCAGTCCCTCCCAAAGCGAAGGGTGGCAACACATTGATCGAACGAAGATTTTTCGGCGATCTTATTTTGTGGACATCTCTTTGACATGGTGGGGCATATGCGTGTGTGTCTGCTATGGGGGCAGATGCGTCTTGTCCAACCTAACTACCCGAGAAACCACATGGATCGGGACATCTTTGAAGCCGGAAGCCCACGCAGGCAGAATACTTATGCCTTCACTACGAGAGTTGTGAGCTAGACTATCCCCATCATGCTCGAGGTCGAGGCAGTTAAAAAATATTGAGGCTGGGCTCGCATGAAACTAAATCTGTATATCCTTTCCAACAAGGTAACGAGGCAAGACCTGAATAAGCTGAGGAAGCACATGATGACATCGTCGATGTAGATGCTCACTGCAACTCGGTAAGGCCGTCGGCCAGCAAATACTTGCACGAGTGACGCTACCAATCGGCTGAGAAAACCACAAGTGGGATCACCATCCGATTTGCAGGCAGCACCCGCTACCCCGACCAAGTTGACGTCCAAGAGTGCGTCCCTGCACGCGTTAAGCTCGTCGAAACTAAAAGTTCGAGTAAGGAAAGAGCTGTGCACCAACGAACCTCCAATGTACGTGTGGCGGTCGGCAGTGCGTAGAACAGAAATGGATGTTTCGCCAGACGCTTCCTTGGCGAGGCTGCACATGGCAGCCATCGAGGCGCGAATTTGCTTATGACCTGTTCTCTCGAACATCTGGCTGGCATCGGCGAACGATTCCTCACATAACTGTTTGGCACCCCCATGTTGGCTGCAAGTGAAGTCATGCGAACAGGACCCGCCATCAAGCCGGGGCCCGAAACTTTCGATGAACTCCGGCACGGCGGCCTTCAAGCTCCAGAGCTCAAGGCCGGAAGTGCCGCTTCGTAAGAGTGTCAATCCCACAGCCGATGGAACTTCATGCACGTGATGCAGGCCAGGTCGCGAACGATACTATCTTACGGTAGCACTTGAGCGAGGAGGATGAGCTTTTCCAGGGACCACATCCGTGGTAATAATACTTGGACGTGGCTGTTGCGTACATGTGCGGCAAGCCTTTGCACCACATATATTGCACCACGTAGCTTGCACCACATAGCTTACACCTCGTATACTGAACCACGTAGATTGCACCACAGAGATCGCACAACACAGACTCTACCCCCCCCCGGCGTTATCCCCCCCTTTCGGGTATGTAAATCATGTATGATTCTGACCACATGTCCATCTTGAGTATGAATTCGCACTATCCCTGGGGGGCCGGTATCGACCCCCCTGAGCTTCCTTTGTAAAAAACGATACGCGGGGACACCTTTTGTTCTAACATAAGACTTTTCCACGAATCCCTTGCAAAAAATGGGACGAAGTGCGCACGTGCGCGTCGTCGCGCGCGCATGCCAAAATCCTTCAAAAACCTTCGGTGTCGGAAGGATTTCGCAATCGAGTTTCCAAAAAACATACAACAACACAGGGTTTCGCAACACTGATTTGCTAAAAAAGTTTACGCGTGAGCTCTTGCGAAATCTGGAGGGGACCATCGGTTTTTCAAGATTTTCACAACATGCTACCAAACGGGCTTCGCGCGCGCGCATGTTGAAATCTGTCGAACGCCCTTGCGCGTGTGCGGTCGCGAGAATCCTCTGCAAACAATGGGACGAAGTGCAGACGCGCGCGTCGTCGCACGCGTATGCCGAAATCCTTCAAAACCCATTGGTTTCGGGTGGATTTCAAAATCGTGTGTCCAAAAAACCTACAAAAAACAACAAGGTTTCGCAACACTGATTTTCAACAACAGCGTGCGCGCGCGCTCTTGCGTCGTCGTCGTCGTCGTCGTCGTCGTCGTCGTCGTCGCCGTCCTCCCTCCTCCCGCGTCGTCGTCGTCGTCGTCGTCCCCTACGTCGTCCTCTGTCTTTCCTCGTGTTCGTCGTCGTCGTCCTCTTTGGCGTCGTGGTCGTTTCCGTCGTTGTTGTCGCCGTGGTCGTCCTTCCTCCTCCTCCTCCCTCGTTGTCGTCGTCGTCGTCCGTCGTCGGCGTCTCGTCGTCGTTCCTCCTATTTCGTCGTCGTCGTCGTCGTCGTCGTCGTCGTCGTCGACTTCCCTCCTCCCTCGTCGTTGTCGTCGTCGGCGTCGCCGTCCTTCCTCCTTCTTCGTCGTTCGCAGAATCGCCGTCCTCCCTCCTTCCTCGTCGTTGTCGTCGTTGTCGCCGTAGTCGTCCTCCCTCCTCCCTCGTCGTCGTCGTCGTCTTCGTTGGCGACGTCGTCGTCGTCGGCGTCGGCGTCGGCGTCGGCGTCGTCGTCCTCGTCGTCGTCGACGTCGGCGTCGGCGTCGTCGTCGTCGTCGTCGTCGTCGTCGGCGTCGTCGACGTCGTCGTCGTCGTCGTCGTCGGCGTCGTAGTCGTCGGCGTCGTCGTCGTCGTCGGCGTCGGCGTCATCGTCGTCGTCGGTGTCGTCGTCGTTGTCGTTTTTTGTCGTCGTCGTCGTTGTCGTCGTCGTGGAAGTGGTCGGAGACGTCGTCTGTGTCGTCGTAGTCGTTGTCGTCGGTGTCGTCGTAGTCGGTCTTAAGAGGTTTTGCAAACCAAGTTGCGGGTGGGTGGGTGGGATGTTTGCAAGAGCATGGGATGTGTCAAATCAAGGGTAAAAATCAATTGCACCACATAAATCCTCTTTTCTGCAAAGAGAATAGACTCCCCGCCCGGCGTTATCCGTACCCCTTTCGGGTATGGAAATCATATATGATTCTGACCACATGTCCATCCTAAATATGAATTTGCACTATCCCCGGGGGGCCTGTATCGACCCCCCTGAGGTTCCCTTGTGAAAAACGATACGCGGGGACATCTTTTGTTCTAACATAACACTTTTTCGCGAATCCCTTGCAACAAATCAGACGAAGTGCACACGCGCGCGCCGTCGCGCGCGCATGCCGAAATCCTCCAAAAACCTTCGGTGTCGGAAGGGTTTCGCAATCGAGTTTCCCAAAAACATACAACAACACAGGCTTTCGCAACACTGATTTGCTAAAACAGCTTACGTGCGAGCTCTTGCGAAATCTTAAGACAACCATTGGTTTTTCAAGATTTTCACAACGGTCTTGCGCGTGTGCCGTCTCGAGGATCCTCTGCAACAAATGGGACGAAGTGCAGACGCGCGCGTCGTCGCACGCGTATGCCGAAATCCTTCAAAACCCATTGGTTTCGGAAGGATTTCAACATCGTGTGTCCTACAAAAAACACAAGGTTTCGCAACACGGATTTTCAACGAAAGCGTGCGCGCGCGCTCTTGCGTCGTCGTCGTCGTCGTCGTCGTCGTCGTCGCCGTCCTCCCTCCTCCCGTCGTCGTCGTCGTCGTCGCCTACGTCGTCCTCTGTCTTTCCTCGTGTTCGTCGTCGTCGTCCTCTTTGGCGTCGTGGTCGTTTCCGTCGTCGTTGTCGCCGTGGTCGTCCTTCCTCCTCCTCCCTCGTCGTCGTCGTCGTCCGTCGTCGGCGTCTCGTCGTCGTCCCTCCTATCGTCGTCGTCGTCGTCGTCGTCGTCGTCGTCGTCGTCGTCGTCGTCTTCCCTCCTCCCTCGTCGTTGTCGTCGTCGGCGTCGCCGTCCTTCCATTTTTTTCGTCGTTCGCGTCGTCGCCGTACTCCCTCCTCCATCGTCGTTGTCGTCGTTGTCGTCGTTGTCGCCGTCGTCGTCCTCCCTCCTCCCTCGTCGTCGTCGTCTTCGGTGGCGACGTCGTCGTCGTTGTCGTCGGGTCGGCGTCGGCGTCGTCGTCGTCGTCGTCTCGTCGTCGTCGTCGTCGTCGTCGCCGTCGTCGTCGTCGTCGTCGTCGTCGTCGTCGTTCGTCGGCGTCGTCGACGTCGTCGTCGTCGTCGTCGCGTCGTCGTCGTTGTCGTCGGCGTCGTCATCGTCGTCGTCGTCGGCGTCGGCGTCGTCGTCGTCGTTGGTGTCGTCGTCGTTGTCGTCGTCGTCGTCTTCCCTCCTCCCTCGTCGTTGTCGTCGTCGGCGTCGCCGTCCTTCCATTTTTTTCGTCGTTCGCGTCGTCGCCGTACTCCCTCCTCCATCGTCGTTGTCGTCGTTGTCGCCGTCGTCGTCCTCCCTCCTCCCTCGTCGTCGTCGTCTTCGGTGGCGACGTCGTCGTCGTTGTCGTCGGGTCGGCGTCGGCGTCGTCGTCGTCGTCGTCTTCGTCGTCGTCGTCGTCGTCGTCGCCGTCGTCGTCGTCGTCGTCGTCGTCGTCGTCGTCGTCTTCGTCGGCGTCGTCGACGTCGTCGTCGTCGTCGTCGGCGTCGTCGTCGTTGTCGTCGGCGTCGTCATCGTCGTCGTCGTCGGCGTCGGCGTCGTCGTCGTCGTTGGTGTCGTCGTCGTTGTCGTCGTCGTCGTTGTCGTCGTCGTCGAAGTCGTCGGAGACGTCGTCTGTGTCGTCGTAGTCGTTGTCGTCGGTGTCGTCGTAGTCGGTCTTAAGAGGTTTTG